GGGGGGGGGCCCTGAACAGCCCTGTCAGTGTTTGTAATATATGATCTTTTGTTCAGAATTATTATTTTCTAGGCTCTTCTGAAACAATGAACGAGGAACGTGAAGCGTCTGATCCACAAATTCAGCGATGCATAGAAAGCGTCCGTCACCTTTATATTGTTCAGATGGTGGATCGTGATTTCGTTGTCGTGGTTCAGTTCGCCCAGTTTTCCCCTCAGCTCCTCCATCTTCTGCTTCCGAACCATCAGCTCCGCGTACACAAACTTGTTATCGTAGTCGGTCAGGGTCTTCAGCAGCGCCGGGTCGGGTCCATGGTGGTCGTGCTGCAGGATGCTGGAGAAGATGCGCATGTAGACGTCCAGAGTGGCGTTCACCAGCTGCATGTCTGTCTGTGGACGAGAGGAAGTGAGCGTCTGAGAGTCAGTGTGCCGGGATCAGACTGATGCTGAGGCCTCGTCAGGGTTTAGATCATTATAAATTAACAGACGTCAAAATGAAACGTCCTGACACCTCAAATAAAAATGTGGATTTCTCTCAAAGCAGGAAAAATGATGACAAGATAAAATTGGAATATTAGTCATGTCTTGACTAAATTATTAAAACTATATATATATTCTATATGTATATAAAAATCACTGTGTCATTCATCTCTGAATACTTTTCCTTTGTGTCGTCATGTCTTAGTGGGACAACATATCTCAACACATACAGGAACATTTAATGACACTTGGTTGTTTAACACGACGGCAGCGATATTGATGATGTTTTTAACAGTGAAATGTGTGTTTGTGTGTGTTTGTGTGTGTTTGTGTGTCGTTGTACCTGACACATGGTTTTCCTGACGACAGAATTGAACAGAGGTTTGCTGCCGACCTCCACCTCCTTCAGCCTCTGGAGCACGAAAAACAAAGAGCAGCATAAACACAAAGTCTCATTTACTCTCAGTTCTTTTCCGACTGTTTTCATTTTCTATTTTATTTGAACACATTGTCGTTATTTTCTCTGGATAATAAAAACATAAAAAATTCTTTCAGACGTTTAAAAGGTGAAATATCTGAGATAAGTTGGGAAGGAAAGTCATTTTCACTAGAACATATTCAGCAATGTAAGGAATTAAAGTAATGAAGGGACAAACTTTTGTGAGAATACTAAAACAAAGGTGTTTTAAATATGGAAAAAATAATACAATCTAGAAAACTATCAACTAAACTCTTGTAAAAAACACTGATTTATGATTTTCTTTGCTGTATTTTGAATTTTCCAGGAATTAGTGTCTTCACTCTTAAATGAGTCAAACTAGCGCGGGTCGCTGAGTGATAAAAAATAACAACAGGATATTGTAACCTGAACATTCTTTAAGAAAAGAAAAGCATAAATTAATTTTGTCTAAAAATCTTTGAGACGGGGATGGTTGCGTTTGAAAACCGTGAAATATCGACCCCGGTCACATTATATCCACATATCATGAAACAGAATAATTAAAGATATAAGTAATTAAAGGTCGAAGGTCATTGCTTTAAATAATCCATTAATTAAACGTGTGATGTCGATCACAGGTTAGAGAGCATCGAGCATAACGTGGCCTCTCCAGGCTTCCGTACACAAACAACCGACCTCTGATGATTCAGGAATATTAAATTGATCATCACAAGTTAAAACTGCAATTTGTAAATGTTGGTTAAAATGGTTACAAGTCTTCATCTGCAGTAAAAAAACAAATATAAATAAAAGCACAAAACACTGGTTTGTACGAGGCCGCAGAGGAAAACGTTAACTTGAAATATCACACGTCTGTTAATGTGAAATCAAATCTCCAAAGTGCTGAGCTCTTAAATAAACCTTCATCTGGAGGATTAAACTTGATCTTCACAAGCGAAGGTTCAGCAGAAAGGGAAAACAACGTGGGATCTAAACTCGAGCCCTGCGGAACGCCGCGGGTAAACTCACCAGCAGGTTGTTAAAGCGCTCCTCAGACCGGACAGGACTTCCAAAAGCCATCGCAGCGCCCAGAAGGACCAGGAGACACAGTGAGCCGCAGCACAGAGACATGTCGGAGAGGAGGGTCGTCCAAGAGAGGCTGAGCGAGTCAAGAGCGGTGATGTGTTGTCAAGTCGCTGATACTCTCTGTTGACCCGTGGGCTCATCTATATATTGACGTCTGTATCCCTGTCTGTGTCACTGTGCGTCTCGTCTGTGATGTGTGTGTGTGTGGTTGTGCACGTCTGTGGTCTGTGGGCTTTCAGCAAAAGCACCAGACAGAGCAGCATCACTTTTCCTCTAAAACTCACTGTGCTGATGTTGAACATACGTGCACATGAGACTCCCTGGTTAGGTTTCCATTCACGTCCATGTGCTGATCACACACACACACACACACACACACGCACAGAATGAGGAGACTCCATGGTTAATGTGGCGTCACTGTGAAGAAGACCACTTCATCGAAATCTAAGTGTAGCAGTGCACAGTGTGTGTGTGTGTGTGTGTGTGTGTGTGTGTGTGTGTGTGCATAAAACCTCATGGAAGCGTTATGAAACTATTTGCATGTGTGCATTTTTGTGTGCAAGCTTCAGAGCATGGAAGTGCTTTGTTGTAAAGTAAAAGCTTGGAATCAATTTACTGATAATTGATCACGTCACTTAAGTAAATTATTGTTCAAGCTTCGAGGCCGAACGTTCTCCGGCTGCAGCTTCTCACTCGATTCTTGGTTTTTATTTCTGAATAAAACAAATATATTTGGATCTTCTTCCAGATTACATCGTTCTAATGATTTGAATTTTAATTCTTCGTGTCTCCTTGTGCTCTGGGAAGCGGTGACGGTAGTTATCTGACATCTTGCTCGACAAATATTTCATACACCAAACGTGAAACGATTCGATAGTTGCATCGTCAGCAGGAGCTGCACGTCAGCTTCTCCTGAACTCAAACAACCTTCAGATTGTAGATTTCTTCAGTTCCTGTCTGAAAGTCTAACGAGACAAAGCTGTGAGTGAAATGTCTTTAAGTTGGTGACGATGCTTTACATTTATTATATTTCATTTTTATTTTGTGTTTAGTTTCCTGATGTGTCACTGATGAAGTTCACTGTGAGAACATGATGCTTTGTCAACAACGTGGTCGAGATCCTGAATGAACCTGTGACTCAGCGACGATCGAGCCTCAACAAAGATTTCACAGTAAAGAGCATCGAACTGTTTGTAAAGAGCCCACCGGGCCTCTGCTGTCTTCAGCTTCACTTCCTGTGACCTCACACACTCACTCTGTGTGTAGCTTACGATTTGAAGCTGCTGCGAGGCTAGCAGTTTCCCTCTGCTCCCAGTGTGTGTGCTAAGCTAGGCTAAACACGCTCTCACACCAACAAAGAAAATGTGATTAAATACTTTTTACTGTGAAATCATTTGTGTTGTTCTAATATTTATAAACTGTGTTCAGGACGATGTCACTGAAAGTTTC